AGTATAATATAAAATATATATATATATATAAATATATTATTGCTTACATTTAAGATGTATTTATTTGAACTGCATATAAAGTTTCCAGCACATAAAAATATTTATAAATCTGTTTTTAGGAGCAATAAAACATTATCTTCAAATGCCCTCAAATTCTAATAAAATAAATAAAAATTAATAAGTATAATAAGTATTACTTATAATACTTATTACTTATAATATTACTGATAATTTAACGCTACAATTATAATGAATGCATTTATCATTAATAATATGGAAAAATAATACATAAAAAATAAATATAAAATAAAATATTAATGCCTAAATTTAAGATTGATTTAAAATGCAAATAAAGTTTCCATCCACGGTTTTAAACTAATAATTAATGTGATGCATATTTAATGCCAGTCATACATTCATGAAACAAGTCAGATTTCCACCATTAAATAAATAAATAAATAAAATTGTCATATTTTATTCTTAACTATTTGCACCTATTTGGTTTTATTTAAATTGTCATATTCTCACAATGCACTCATTCAGATTGATTAGAATCAGTATGCATGTGTTCATACTGAAAACAACTACATTTCTTCAGCTAAGAAAGTATGAACATGGTTAAAATGCTTAGCTGCAACATGCAATATTTAATTAGTTTATTAGCATCATAATGCATTTGAGTAACAGAAGCAAAGCCTCACCACTTGCAGCAGCGAGAGGTACCCGGCGCCCACGTTGTCAAAGTTAACCTTGACTTTGGTCCAGTAGTACTGCGTGCTGTTCATCTCCAAGCACTCGCTCTTGTTGTTGATGAAGGAGGCGTTGATATCTATAATAAATAATTGTATTTATTTTTTGGTGGGGCTGAAATGAACCGTCCTTGACACACTTCATCTGATTCACCAATAAATACATTTGTTAAATATCACATGCTGCTCATGCTTTGTGAATATGCGTGTGAAATAAAGCATGGCATAATCAGGAATCACGTCTGACCGTGAACGTGTTGTATTGAGAGGATGGGAAAGTGCTGAGCGGGTTTAGATGGCGGTCTGTGTGAGACAGCACTTTCTGAAGCGGCGTGACGTCTAATCTGATTTGCCAGATTTATCATTCGCTTTCACTGAGCGTGCAAATCTAAAGCAGAGCCGTTCACTTCAGTCCGGACAGAACTGCAGACGCATTACAGAAACACAACACTATATCAGCATTAATGCACTTCAGTTTGTTTCTTTAATCCATTTCAAATCAAACTTTATTTCTTAAATGGTTAAGGCAAGACACTACAGGCAGAAATATTGCCTTTCATGCACTTTCATGATTTTCATAAAGTGTTGTTTCAGATTTGTGAAAGAAAACATCTAAAATATACTTTTAAGTTTATTTTATGATTTTTATTTTAGTAGTTGTTTTAGACTAGTGGAAAGGAAACATCCAAAATAGACTTTTTAGTTTATTTAATTATTATTTTTAGTTATAGTTATTTTAGTATAGTTCATTTTATTTACTTTATCTATTTGTGCCTGTAGATTTAAAATTTTAATAATTGTTATTATAGTTATCTAAAACTGAGACCAATTTTTGTTACTTGAAATGAAATAAATTTTAACTGAAATAAAATAAAACTTGCTTTATTTCAGCAAGTTGCCAAAGTGATATTTTTCATTTTAATTTAGTTCATCTTGATGCAATACATTTTTTTTAACTAAAACTGAAATGAACGAAAACTATAAACATATATTTAAAAAAAAAAGACAAAAACACACAACAAAATTACTTAAACTTTAACAAAAATTCAAATGAAAACAGCAAATATAAAAATAAAAATTAATTCAAAATCGTATTAAAATTATAATAATATATCAATGCATCAGAGAAGTGCATGCTTATATAAAAAATATAAATATGCATATACAATATGTATATTATATAATTATAAAAATTATATTTCAGACATTTAAAAAAAGACAAAAACACAACAAAATTACTAAATGTAAATTAAAATTAAAACAGAAAATGAAAAAAAAAATAAAACAAATTCCACATATTCTTAAAAATTACAATAATATATAGAATTATACTAATATAACCCAGTACTTGCATATACAAATTTAACAGATTTACTTCTATATTCTGGTTTTATCCAACCTTCAGATTAATGTTCTGGAAATTAGTGCAGATTTAATTAAATAATGCCTAATTTGGATATTTAAACATACTATTTCAGAAAACATCAAATATATCTGTGATTCTTAATGTACTCAATCAGATGGGGAAGTATAGTGAAATCTATTAGTTTAATGTTTTATATTCAGCTGCGTGTCTTGCCTTAAATCTCAAATGGCTGAAATATCACTGTATAACTAATATTATTAATATGTGACCCTGGAGCACAAAACCAGTCATATGGGTCAGTTTTTCGAAATTGAGATGTATACATCATCTGAAAGCTGAATAAATAAGCTTTCCGTTGATGTATGGTTTGTTAGGATAGGACAATATCTACCGGCGAACAGGTTGACTCCCATGATGCTGAAGATGAGCCAGAAGATCAGACACACCAGCAGCACATTCATGATGGATGGGATCGCGCCGATCAGAGCGTTCACCACCACCTGGTTACCGTGGAAACACAGCATCCTCAGATCAGCCGCTCTGTCCGGCGTGATTTACGGCTTTTATGCTCTCGCGTCAGCGATCTAAAACTCCCGATAACGCACACCGAGTGTCAAAGCACTTTAATAGCCATTCATAAAACATGAGCATTATTAAAAGCTGAACTCTACTGGATCAAATGCATCAGAGAAGTGCGGATTTTAACAGTAAACCTCACAAAAGCTGTCAAGAACATGCCTAGGTCACGCCAAAATCGAAATAATGTGCATTAAAAATAAAACGCATAAATCTGTTTTTAGGAGCAATGCATATATGGCATTGATATTTTTCCAATATATTATCAAGTAAATATATAATTTTCACTAATAATAATAAAAATAATATTTATTAATATATACAGTGCATGCACAGTCTCACACACACACACACACACACATATATATATATATGTGTGTGTGTATATTAAAATCTATAAATAGAGAGATTATTTCTTTATTTCATAATATATAGCAAAATATTAATGCCTACATTATTTTCCATCCATTTGGATTTCACAGTTTTAACAAACTAATAATATAATGTGATTCATATTTGTCAGTCAAACATAAATGAAACAGGCCAGATTTCTGCACTAACTAACTACCTAACTAACTAAATAAATAAAAATAAGGTATAATTTATTATTAACTATTTGCATCTATTTGATTTTATTTAAATAATCATTATTTATTCCATATTTAATTTAATTGAAATTAATTTAATTTAATTATTAAATTTATTAGGTAAAAAAAATATGCACATATGCAATCACATTACGTTTATTAATTTGTTTATGCTAAAAATGTGCAATCAAATAAATAAATCTTAAATTTAGGCATTACTATTTTTCTATTTGTTATTTTTGTATTATTTAAAAAAAAAGGATATAAAATAAAAAAATTCTAAAGGTCTTAAAATAGGCTTCAATTTCTGAAATTGAGATGTATACATCATCTGAAAGCTGAATAAATAAGCTTTCCGTTGATGTATGGTTTGTTAGGATAGGACAATATCTGGAAATCTGGAATCTGAGGGTGCAAAAAAATCTAAATATTGAGAAAATCATCTTTAAAGTTGTCCAAATGAAGTTCTTAGCAATGCATATTACTAATCAAAAATTAAGTTTTGATATATTTACAGCAGGAACTTTACACAATATCTTCATGGAACATGATCTTTACTTAATATCCTAATGATTTTTGGCATAAAAGAAAAATCTATCATTTTGACTCATACAATGTATTGTTGGCTATTGCTACAAATATACCCCAGCGACTTAAGACTGATTTTGTGCTCCAGGGTCACTTATGTGAACGTGGTGCTGCCTGGTGTGTGAGGATGAGGAGGAGATGAAGATAACACTGAGTTTGTGAAACATTCAATTATCCAGAATACTGATGGTGTTTCCCAGCGGACAGAAAGCAGCTTCATCGTTCATTCAGACTGTGTAATAATCTACTGCAAGCACAAACACTACTGTACACATACACCACACTAACACCCTGTAATACTGACAGCAAGTCAAACACAATCATACATGCAACTGCAGGAAAAGGAAGATAACACTGGACAATTAACACTGAAGTCCTCCTTCTGTATGTCTATTTCAGTTTTTGGTTTGATGCAAATGATCATTTACTTATATTTAATTCTATCATTTATTTTATTAATTTTAATATTATCCGTCAGTGAGAAATCTCCTCAAAATGTCACTGTACTTTGTACTATTTTAATTATAATTTTTTATTCAGTTAAATAATTTATTCTTATGTTTATTTTATTATTTTTAATATAATCCATAAGTGAAAAATCTACTCAAAATGTCACTGTATTATGTAATATTTAATTATAATAAATGTATATGTAATTATATATATATATATAATTTGTATTTATTATTTAATTATTTTTTATATTATCCATATTAGTGAAACATCCATTTAAAATGTCACTCTATTATGTAATGTTTTAATCATAATAATTTTTTAATTATATATTTCATTCTTATATTTATATATATATATTTTTAATATTATCTATTAGTGAAAAATCGACTCAAAATGTCACTGTATCATGTGATATTTTAATCAAAATAAATGTCAACTTAATCAAATATTTTATTCTCATAAATATTTTAATATAATCTATCAGTGAAAATCACTCTATTAATTATCATAAATTTATAGATATTTTATATATTGTATTCTTATATTTATTCTATTAATTTTAGTATGTCACAAAATGTCACTGTATTATATAGTATTTTACTTACAATAAATGTATATATAGTTATATGCTTTATTCAATATTTAATTCAAATCCACTCAAAATGTCACTGTATTAATTTTTTTTATATTTTATGGGTTATTTGACTAAATAGTCCCATAGTTGCATCGCCTAATACTGGAAAGTCTTTCCCGTTTCCCCTGTAAAGCCTCCAGCAATAAATGAGACGTCACCTTTCAGAATCAGAAATGCATGAAGATTAAACGGATCAGACTTGATTAAACAGAAGTGCGGTGAGAATATGAGAGAGATGGGAGCAGCTATTAAAACACGCTAATGCTGTAAAAACACGGCACAGAGGGACAGTGTTTAGCTGTGGGTTTACTGCCGGATCGATGGAGAGAAAGAAATCAACAAACAAAAACATGAGTTTACTCTGCTGGCGTCAATCTGATGAAAACATCTCACATTTCACACTAAAAATCGAAAAAATGATCAATTATATTGTTTAATGTAAATTAAGCTTTTTAAATGGACCATTATGATTGTTTGTTGCATTATTGTTTAAATGACTTAACTAATACGACTAAACATGTTTCCCCCAAATTGTAATTTTATATATTTGTAATTCTCATTAAATTTGCATTAATGTAAAAATGCATTAATATCAGCATAAATTAAAGGCAGTACAACAAACACTATATATATAAAAATATTATTTTTAACCATTACTCTTATAAGAATTTGGGTTAAAATGTAGTTAAAAAAAATTATGTTGACCTCAACATAATTTCAGACCACTGATATTTTCTTTCTATCCCATTAATGAGATTTTAATAAACTATTCAAGCAATCTAACAGCAGATTAAAAGACTGTAACCCTGTTTAAGCCAGCCTAAGGTGGTTAGGTGGTCTGGTTTGATGGTTTTAGAGGGGTTTTGGATGCTTGTCAACAGGGCGAGACCACCTTAAACCTGCTAAACTCTTAAAAATAAAGATTCTTTATTGGCTTCTACCTTTAACATCCATGGAACCTTTCAATCGCACAGAAGGTTTTTTATAGTGGAAAAATGTTCTTTAGATTATTAAAATGTTCTTCATACCAAGAAAACAATGTTTTTTTTTTTAAAGAACTGTTCACTCAATGGTTCTTTAGGGAACCAAAATTGGTTCTTCCATGGCCTCGCTGCACACAAAAAAAAAAAAAAATTGAAGAACCATTTTTTATTGCCCAAAGAACCATTCAGTGAAAAGTTCTTTAAAGAACCATCTTTTCTTAGTGTGAAGAACTTTTTAATAATCTAAAGAACCTTTTTCCACTACAAAGAACCCTTGTGCATTTGAAAGGTTCCATTGCTGATAAACCATAAACCAAAATAAAGGTTCTCTATTGGCTTCTATTGGTTCCATGAAAGAACCTTTAACATCCATTTAACCTTTCCAGGTTCTTTATAGTGGAAAAATGTTCTTTAGATAATTAAATGTTCTTCACACCAAGAAAACAATGGTTCTACTAACGGTTCTTTGGGGAACCAAAAATGGCTCTTCACTCTTAAAAATAATGTTTCCAAAATGGGGTTCTCAGTGATCAGTTCTTCTTTCTTGGTCTGAAGAACTTTTTAATGATCTAAAGAAACTTTTGTGCACTGAAAAGTTTTAATGGATGTTAAAGGGTCTTCATTAGAACCATCAATGCCAATACACTCTTAAAAATAAAGGTTCTTTATTGGCATTGATGGTTCCATGAAGAACCTCTAACATCCATTTAATCTTTCCATTACAGAAAAGGTTCTTTATAGTGGAAAAAAGGTTCTTTAGATTATTAAATGTTCTTCACTTTAAGAAAACAATGCTTCTTATAAGAACTGATCACTCAAAGGCATGGCGAACCAAAAATGGTTCTTCTATGGAACAGCTACAGAACCCCCCTACTGAAGCTTTTATTTTTAAGAGTGAGTTCTTAAAAGAACCATATTTTCTTAGTGTGAAGAACATTTTGATAATCTATAGAACCTGTTTCCACTATAAATAACCTTTTGTGCAATGAAACGTTTCCATGGATGTTAAAGGTTCTTCATTAGAACCACCAATGCCAATACACTCCTAAAAATAAAGGTTCTTTATTGGCATTGATGGTTCCATGAAGAACCTTAGACATACATTGAATCTTTCCAGGTTCTTTATAGTGAAAAAGGGTTCTTTAGATCATTAAGGTGTCTTTCACAAAAATAAAATAATGGTTCTTTTTAAAACTGATCACTTAAGGTTCTTCAGGGAACCAAAAATGGTTCTTCTACGGAACAGCTACAGAACCCCCCTTCTAAAACGTTTATTTTTAAGAGTGAGTTCTTAAAAGAACCATATTTTCTTAGTATGAAGAACATTTTGATAATCTATAGAACCTGTTTCCACTATAAAGAACCTTTTGTGCATTTGAAAGGCTCCATGGATGTTAAAGGTTCTTCATGGAACCATCAATGCCAGAACAAATAAAGGCTCTCGATTGGCTTCTATTGGTTCCATGAAGAACCTTTAACATGCATTGAACCTTTCCAGGTTCTTTGTAATGGAAAAAAGTTATTTAGATCATTAAATGTTCTTCACACCAAGAAAACAATGGTTCTTTTAAGAATTGATCACTAAAGGTTATTTGGGGGAACCAAAAATGGTTCTTCTACGGCATCAATGTAAAACCCCCTTTTGGAAGTGTGGAACCTTTCCATTCAACAAAAGTTCTTTATAGTGGAAAAAGGTTTAAAACGTTCTGCTTCTATCACTTAAAAGTTCTTTGGGGAACCAAAAATGGCTTTTCTAAGTAAAAACCCTTTTAAGAGCATACGACCATAAAACCACCACAGGCTGGTTTAAGAAGAAGTTTCTAATGACCGATTTTTCTCTCCTCAGCCAATTCCCTGAAAAAATACGGAGCCTTCCTGTTTCTGTTCAAAAAAATGAGCGAAATCGCTTGAGAACCTGTAGCATTAACAGATGTGACAGAGAGACGAGTGTATCTTACCCTCATGCCGTCAAACCGGGACAGCGCTCTCAGTGGCCTGAGGGCTCTGAGCGTTCTGAGAGATTTGATGGCAGCAAAGTCCGAGTAGCCTAGCGTGTTTGCTACAAGGCTTACGAGAGACACCTGAGTGACAGAGAGCCGAGGAGAAAGAGAAGATAGAAACGCAGCGTTAGGACTCAATTTCAAAGCAAAATCTTTAAAAGTTGCTGATGTAATGTATTCTAAATATTAAAATTTAATACATTTCAAATTATTCCGATAGTACAAAATCTTATATCTAAAGCGAATTATACTGCATTTCAAGGCATACATCATTTTTCATGCATTTCCCAGGAATCGAACCCATTACCATTGTGTGAGCTACAGGAATTTAACATACTTCTGTGCTTTAAAATACATATTTTAAGCACATTTTCTACATCAGCTCATCAAGTGTCAACAAACTGCATAACGTGAAAAGTCTAAACTACTGTATTTGATCAGTATTTCATGCTGCAGTGAAGGTGGAGGTGAAGTGTGCAATTTCTGCAACACTTGCATCAGCAAACAGATTTCAACATCAAAAATAATTGCACACTTCACCTTTCACATCACAACTTTACAGGCTCCTGTAGTTCTGAATTCACAGCTATCCTCATCCTCGCTCTTATTCTCATTGAATGGAGCCACACAAATAAAACTCAAATCCATATAAAAGCACAGGTCAGTTACACTGCAGAATCTGGACAATGATGCAGTCGTGGTTGTTTCGGCTCTTTGGTCACAGTAACAAATGACATTTTTAACTGATGAACAGATGGATGCTGTACCACAAATATAGTGTGTAGCTTAGAAAACTAGACTAATGAGGAAAAATACAATAGTTATGGCCTGCTAACATGATCCCATTAATGTTTGTTCATAGTTCCACATATGCACAGCAGACATACATTTATCATGTTTGAATAACTATGGTTTTTTTGGACAAAATTTCATAATTATCTGATAATTGAGAGTGTTGCTATGGGATTATTGTGTCTTTGTCTCTTTAAAAAAAAAAAAACATGAATTAGAAATCAGTGTCAATATAAATGCATTTAACCCTCTGGTGTGATTGATGTACTGTATTTTAGTTCAGTAATGTTTTTATTTAATATTTTGTATTTTTAGGGGATTTTATGGTACTAAATTATATATAAATAGAATAGTTATGATCCATTGAATACCTGTTAATACTTTTTGAGCATAGAAAATAAAACCTGAAAATGAAATTTCCAACTTAAACTGTTGTAAATTTTATATATCAGTAATGTTTTTATTTAATATTTTGTATTTTTAGGGGATTTTATGGTACTAAATTATATATAAATAGAATAGTTATGATCCATTGAATACCTGTTAATACTTTTTGAGCATAGAAAATAAAACCTGAAAATGAAATTTCCAACTTAAACTGTTGTAAATTTTTTATATATATATATATATATATATATATATATATTTGATATGATGTACATATTTTCCAAAACATGTTTTACTCTAAAATTGTGGAAAAAATTTTATTTGATATGATGTACATATTTTCCAAAACATGTTTTACTCTAAAATTGTGGAAAAAATTTTATTTGATATGATGTACATATTTTCCAAAACATGTTTTACTCTAAAATTGTGGGAAAAAAAGTAATAAATCTAAACATGTTCCAAATTTGAGGTCTCATTTTTTTTATTTTATTTTTTTTATATAATATGAACTCATAAAATTGTAAAAAAAAAAAAAAAAAAAAAAAAAAAAAAAATATATTTTATA